GTGAGACACACACTCGGGGTAACATTAACAATAACCGACACCAATGCTCAGACAGACAGGAACTAATATGGGGTGAATAATTAGAGGCAGACAGGTGAGCACAATGACGGTGATTAACTAATGATCAGACGGGCTAAACCAACACAAAGGGAAGAAACCACAACAAACAGTCCACAGGGGCGTTACAGTATGTTGCATTTTACCCAGAGAATTAGTTTAACCTAGGTTTTGTACAGCTTTTAAATAGTTGTCATAGTTCTGCATAACATTCGTGCAAATTAAGTCAAATAAATTCATCTGCAATGTATAGCCTTCCATATGCAATCAAGACTAGTTCAGTCAGTGAGATGTAAATGAGAATTCTCAGCTCTGAACACTATTGAGTTCTTTCCAATGGCGAGAATAAAGGCCTTTGAGAGGCTGTTCCATCTGCTGGTTTTGAGAGATCTCTGATCCTCAGTGTTCACTGGCCTTTTACTCTCCCAAGAGAGAAGCCGGGATTTGCACATAGCTGGTATGAACAGGCGCAGATGAAGCTCTCATCCTCACCCGAATGCAGAGGCAGTGAATCTGTACGGGATGCAATTAAAATTCCTGAAATAAATCTCCTTTGCTGCTGCGTTGACAGTCAGTAGACGATGCTGGTTGATGAGGTTTAAATAATACTGATGCACAGAAGTTAAAATAGACAACTATTTTTGAAATTCAGATGCTAGTGGCACACAATTTACACATTTGTAATGCAAATATTGGTGTTATTGAACACGGTTATTTTCGAATCTCTCGTGCCTGGAGAGTCTCAATATGCACAGATAATTATGGAAGATATTGTGTTCCATCAGATGGAGTTGTCAGCTGCTTTCCCAACAGCTTCACGCGTTTCTTAATGGGATATGAGATCTCTGGAGAAGTCACTTTATCTCACCCGTCCATATGTTATATGCTGCCACTGTGCCGCTGAGCGCTAGCTGTCGTCTCAAACAGACAGGCTTTAGATTGGACCGGCTCCCTCCACTCCCACACATTTCATCTCCATCTTTCCACAGCCGCCTTGAGTGGAGCGCCACCAGTCTCACTCGTTTGCCTTCCAGCACTTATCCAAACACCCATTAAAGCATGTCTGTTTACACAGTTGTATGCTTGTTTGCAGAGCAGTAAATAGAAAAACTGTTTGTGTCGTTGTCAATGTTGAGCTCGATCTCTCCCAAATTCTTTTGTTCACACCTAGGGCTGGGAGATTTTACCAATTATCACAATATATTCATGATGATCACTCTCTGGTAGGGATGTAACAATTCACTCAACAATTTGAATCGTCACATATTTGAATCGATTTTCAACCGGCTCGCGGTTAATCGTTACATCCCTACTCTCTGGTGATATAACATTATGCAACACTGTGAATGGCTCATGGGCCATTAAAGGAATAATTCACCCAAAAATGATATTTCTGTCATCATTTAATCAACCTCATGTCATTCATGTTCATTTGACTTTTTCCATGGCAAATCAAAGATGTTTAGCAGCAGTTTGTCCAAGCTGTTTTTTCCATAACGTTTAAGTGTATAGAGAGCCAACTGAATCTTAATAGCATTTCTGATTTAAGATTTAATAGCAAAAATAACATTCAAATGAGTTGGTAAGTTTGATTAATTTCTAAATCTGTGCTATCTGTCTGATTTGATTCATAATTAAAAAAAAAAAAAAAAAAATTTATTTAATCAATTTTCATATATTAACATGTTATTGTAAAAATGCACTAGTGTTCAGAAGTTTGGAGTTGGTATTTTTTTTAAGAAGACTCTTATGCTTACCAAAACTGTATTTATTTGAAAATACAGTAAAACCAGTAATATTGTGAAATAATATTATTACTAATTTAAACTGTTTTCTATTTTAATACATTTCAAAATATAATTTATTTCTGTGATGGCAAAGCTGAATTTTCAGCGTCATTACTCCAGTCTTCAGTGTCACATGATCCTTCAGAAATCATTCTAATATGTTGATTTGGTGCTCAAACATTTCTTATCAATGTTGAAAATAATTTCATATTATTGTGGAAACCATGATACACCTTTTCAGGATATAGAGTAGAATTGAAATTTCAGCATTTATCTTAAATAGAAGTCTTTTTTAATAACTGTCTTTACTGACACTTTTGCTCAAACTGTTGCATCAAATTTTGAATCATAGTGTAAGTAAAAAAAATGGCTGTTGGTGCATATAAAGTAAAAAAATATATATTTTTTACAATAAACATTTTAGATCTACTATAACAACTCTATACATGCTCTATACGACTGAAATGGTTACTCTGATTTAAAAAAAAAAAAAGAATAATACGTAGATTTACATCAAAGCAATGCAAATAATTACTATTTCTTTTATCCATTTCACCAAGCTCTATTCGCACCAACTTCCATATTTTTTCTAGGTCTCTGTTTTGGTCAGTTCACTCTCTCTTTTTTAATCAATCAGTTCTCTGTCTGTTCTGTCTCCTGATCTCACCTTGTTCAAAGAGCTAATGTTTTTTTTTCTCTCCCTTGTGCATTTTCGTCATAGCATTGCTTTAGGCTGATAGCTTATGTGGAAAATAGTCATATCTCAACCGATTTGAATCGTCACATATTTGAATCGATTTTCAACCGGCTCGCGGTTAATCGTTACATCCCTACTCTCTGGTGATATAACATTATGCAACACTGTGAATGGCTCATGGGCCATTAAAGGAATAATTCACCCAAAAATGATATTTCTGTCATCATTTAATCAACCTCATGTCATTCATGTTCATTTGACTTTTTCCATGGCAAATCAAAGATGTTTAGCAGCAGTTTGTCCAAGCTGTTTTTTCCATAACGTTTAAGTGTATAGAGAGCCAACTGAATCTTAATAGCATTTCTGATTTAAGATTTAATAGCAAAAATAACATTCAAATGAGTTGGTAAGTTTGATTAATTTCTAAATCTGTGCTATCTGTCTGATTTGATTCATAATAAAAAAAAAAAAAAAAAAATTTATTTAATCAATTTTCATATATTAACATGTTATTGTAAAAATGCACTAGTGTTCAGAAGTTTGGAGTTGGTATTTTTTTTAAGAAGACTCTTATGCTTACCAAAACTGTATTTATTTGAAAATACAGTAAAACCAGTAATATTGTGAAATAATATTATTACTAATTTAAACTGTTTTCTATTTTAATACATTTCAAAATATAATTTATTTCTGTGATGGCAAAGCTGAATTTTCAGCGTCATTACTCCAGTCTTCAGTGTCACATGATCCTTCAGAAATCATTCTAATATGTTGATTTGGTGCTCAAACATTTCTTATCAATGTTGAAAATAATTTCATATTATTGTGGAAACCATGATACACCTTTTCAGGATATAGAGTAGAATTGAAATTTCAGCATTTATCTTAAATAGAAGTCTTTTTTAATAACTGTCTTTACTGACACTTTTGCTCAAACTGTTGCATCAAATTTTGAATCATAGTGTAAGTAAAAAAAATGGCTGTTGGTGCATATAAAGTAAAAAAATATATATTTTTTACAATAAACATTTTAGATCTACTATAACAACTCTATACATGCTCTATACGACTGAAATGGTTACTCTGATTTAAAAAAAAAAAAAGAATAATACGTAGATTTACATCAAAGCAATGCAAATAATTACTATTTCTTTTATCCATTTCACCAAGCTCTATTCGCACCAACTTCCATATTTTTTCTAGGTCTCTGTTTTGGTCAGTTCACTCTCTCTTTTTTAATCAATCAGTTCTCTGTCTGTTCTGTCTCCTGATCTCACCTTGTTCAAAGAGCTAATGTTTTTTTTTCTCTCCCTTGTGCATTTTCGTCATAGCATTGCTTTAGGCTGATAGCTTATGTGGAAAATAGTCATGGGCAAGATGACTGTATTCAATAAACTGAGCGGGGATGCAGCAGTCACACCCGTCCTCTTGAGACACATTGCGTCACTTTCTTCTGCGTCTGTGTGATGTTCATTTAGTCATGCGGCCTGGGAAAAACTGAAGTGCGGCCACTATTGGCCCAGTCGGCTGATCCAGAGTGACATAGGGGCGGGCTGACCTCTGACCTTGAGTCCTGACATGTTCTTTCTGTGTCTCGTTCTGGTCAACCATACAGCAAAACTGTCAGCCAGAACTGATTGATGAAGCTTAGCGAAGGCCTAAATGATCAGTTAATAGACCACCAGGCTTTTTGCCAGTAATGTTCTCTGACAAGTGCTTGTACTCGTTGGTTTGCTAACAGGGTTTGTTTGTTTCCCCCACAACTGAGATTGAATCCTGTAAAAGAGGTAGATTGCTTGAGAGCATGAGCAACACTATAAACTAGTATAACACTGCCCTCTATAGGCAGCAGTGTGCAGAACACCATACAGTTCAATTACAGCTCTTCAAAGGTGAAGTCAAAGTTTACATTAATGTACTTTCTTGGTCTTATTGTGCATGACTTGGCATGTTATTTGGGGCGGGGGGACAGTCTTTGTAATCTTTTAATCACAATGTAAAAAATTGCTCCGCCTCTGAAAAAACTTTCCTTTCAGATGACATCACCAATCACCAGAAGTGTAGTGTTTTTATATGTACACAAATGCTACTTCTCGTTGCTACTAGAATCATTGCTGACATGAAGAGAGCCAGTTTTTGTGGTGGTCCTTTTCTGTGGCAACCCATTCTGAGGTGTTTTTTCTGTCCCCTGTGCACAGATGTGAAGGGGCCACCCAGCCACCGCTTCTCCTGCGGCCAGTCGCCGTTCACGGAGCCCTGCGTTTGGGAGAGGAAGTACTGCATCCTGACCGATAGCCAGCTCATCCTGCTCAACAAGGAGGAAGAGGTAAGTGCGCTCCTTCCCTATGCTTTATCCCCTCATTCTTCTCTCTTCCTCTCTCTCAGAATGAGGTGCGAAGGACAATTAAATGAAGACATGCAGATGATGTTTGTGCTTTGTTGTACATTTCCCCTTGTGAGGGTTAAATACGTCATTTGCTGATGTAATTTACTGACCTGAGCACTATTTGGATGGGATTAGTTTTCCAGACATTTGAGTTACAATTATGAAGTCTGTTATAAAATCCAGAAGCAAATTTACCTGACCTCCTTAAAGGGGTCATTTGACGTTGCTAAAAGAGAACATTATTTTGTGTATTTGGTGTAATGAAATGTGTTTATGCGGTTTAAGGTTCAAAAAACACATTATTTTCCACATACTGTACATTAATGTTGCTCCTCTATGCCCCGCCTTTCTGAAACGCGTCGATTTTTACAAAGCTCATCGGTCTGAAAAGTGAGGTGTGCTCTGATTGGCCAGCTATCTAGTGCGTTGTGATTGGCCGAATACCTCAAGCATGTGACAGAAATGTTACGTCCCTTACCATACTGTGATGCCGTGTGATACGTTGCAACTTTAGGGATCTTATCTATTCACGAACAGCTTGTAACACTCCAAAGAGAAAGGAAAACTTGAAATCGTCGTCATTTACTTACCCTCAATTTGTTCCAAACTTGTATGAGTTTCTTTCTTCTGTGGAACATAGAAAATATTTTGAAGAATGTTTGTAAAATCAGTTGATGGTCCCCATTGACTTCCATAGTACGGTTTGGTTACATTTTGTGTTTAGCAGAAGAAATAAATTCATGCAGGTTTGGAACATCCTGTGCGAGTAAATAATGACAGAATTCTCATTTTTGGTTGAAATGTCCCTTTTTAGGAAAACTATTCCCATCCGAATAGGTCTTGATAGTTAAAGAGCCTCATTTTGCACATTTCAATGATTTGTTCTCTTTTTTTAATGAGTTCATTACTCTCGTTGTGCAGGCCAACCAATTTCATCTTGAGGTTATGAAAGGGAATAATCAATTCTATTAATGTATTGAATTAGTTTCTGATTGACAGATTGCTTTCAGATACATTTAAATGGTTAGTTAATTTATAGCAATGTGTAACCCTGTGACCTCCACCCACTGACCTCTGACTTGTTCCCAGATGCCATCTGAAGTCCATGAAAGCCCCACAGCATCCTCATCAAAGGGTCGCAGCCTGAGAAGGACAGTCAGTGTGCCCTCTGAAGGACCGTTCCCAGAGTATCCACCAGAGGGAACCTCAATGTTAGGTAAGATTTATGTGGCGCTTCTGTTATGATAGCAAAACTATTATTTATGCTCTCTGTCAGGCAAAATAACCACAGGAATATTCGAGAGGAAACTTGAATATATTAGAGAATTTTGATAGGGTTATCAGATAATATTAGTGATGTTTATTTCTTCTTTTGTTTGTCGCTCTCATTTCTATCTATTTCTACATTTTAGATTACATAACAATCAAAGTTTATTTTTCATTTAACACTAATAACATTTAATAACATTACTAATTTGTTAAATAGTTAAAAGTAATTTATAGAAAATAAAGATTCTTTCATGTTTTTTAATTAATATTGTTATGCCAAAATGTACTGAAGCATTTAAAATAAAGTTTTCATTTTGATAGTTTTGATGCAAAAATAATGTAAAATTTTAATATCAGCCATGTATCAGGCATAAATTCAAAATATTTGTCGACTTAAGCTTTTAGCCATATTTTTATATTTATTTCTAGTTGTGCTCAACCTCAGACTAATTTTTTTTTATCCACTAGAAACTTCTCTTTTGCAGTCTCTTTAATGATTTTGATCCTCTTTATCCAGTAAACACAACCAGTTGGAAATGTCATTGTTCAAAAGTTGTGGAAATGCTGATTCAGACAGTAGTAGGACCTTTTAGCAGAAGCTTTTTGCTCTGTCTATAGGGTTTCGAAGATGAAGATTATACCGTGGGATCAAATGGCACTCTTTTAGCATTTACTGTAGCTTTAAGATGTTGTTAAGCAGGCACGCTCACACTGCAGCTTATAGCATACGGATTTGTGTGCTAGCAGGCAGAGCATGAGGTGAATCGTGAACAAAATCACGTCTGTAGGTGCATTTGTAACATCAGAGCCATAACTCCTGAATCCACTGCCACAAGCACGGAGGATCAGGATAACAAAGCAGTGGATTTAACCGCAACATTGCAGACTGGGCTTAGAGAAACACCAGATTGGGGGCGAAAATATGCATGCTAAAAACTGCAGAATATTTCACAAAACAAAGATCAGTTGTACAACAGTATCAAATGCATACTTATTATTTGCATACACTGCCCTCATTATTTCAATATGAGACTGTTTTGTCTTTCTTTTGTCAGAATTTACTCACTCTCACATTGTTACAAACTTGTTAGACTGACTTCTGTGAAATGCAAAATAAGATATTCTGAAGAATGTTTCGTCTGCTTTTGTTCATATAATGAAAGTCAGTGGGGTCCAAAACAAAATTGGACCCTACTGACTTTCATTATATGAAAAAAACAAGACATTCTTCAAAATGTCTTATTTGTGTTCAACAGAAAAAAGTCAAAACAAGTTTTCAATGGCAAGAAGATAAGTAAACAATGCCAAAATGTTCATTTTTGGGTAAACTATCCCTTAAATCCAAACTGACTCAGATGGATGCTCCCTATCCAGAATTTTCAAAGTTCAAGTTTCAAGTTGTTCTGAAAGCAGGTTAATATTCTGATTCACCTCTCCATATCCGCACCTTTTTCTCATAATGATTCATTATGTTTGAGTAACTTTGGTATGTTTGGGTACGTTTGATCCCGCAACCTCTGTGGGCCGGGCAAGCTTGTGCGAGAAGGAGTATGGAGGAATGTAATTTTGTAGAACAAAACTCACTGTTGTTACTGTGTTAGTTTTCTCTCTCTCTCTCTCTCTGTCTTTGGACCGTGTTTCATTCCCTCCCAGGCCTAGGGGGGCAATAACTGAAGCTGCCCTCTGACTGGTCTCGCATTCAGTACCAGTATGTGCGGGAGTGCGGACACTGACCCAGTGGGCCGGTTGCTAAAGGCAGCAGTCAGAAAAATGCACAAATCTCTGTGACTAAGAGAGTCATTCATTCTCCATACCCTCCTAAGCTGCACCGCCACAGATTCAGAGAGCGAGAGAAGAGGGTTATTTATATGTTAATGTTCGCTCTGTTTGACAATGAGACACTCCGCAGCCAGGGTGGTGAGGGAGAGTCCTGGATTTCTATGGCCATTCAGAGTCTCTAGAGGCTGTTAGATTCACAGCTACAAAAATGTAGTGAGATCATATGTGGTTTTCAGTTTATATGGTTCTGATCAGTGAATCATATATATTTTTTCTTTTGTTGCCATTAGGAGAGATATATCTTATTGAAGCTCCAGCTCCGTCTTTCTCACGGTTGTCAAGACGATGAGGTTCTGACTCCTCTCACATAGCAAACAGAGCGTATTTATGTACTTGTAACTAAGTATGAATTGTGGATGTTGCTTCCACATTTGTAGTATTGTAACAAGGAGAAAATCTGGTTTAAAAGGATAGTGAGCTCAACAATAAAACATCTGTCATCATTTACTTACCCACGTGTCATTCCAAACCTCTACTTTCTTCTGCTAAACACAAAAGAAGATATTTTTAAGAATGTTTCAGCTGTTTTTGTCCGTACAATGAAAGGGGCCCAAAACAACGTTAAACCCCTTTGGCTTTCATTGTATGGACCAAAAAAAATATTTTTTTTCAAAATATCTTCCTTTGTGTTTCACAGAAAACGTAAGTCATACACATTTGGAACTAAATGAGTTTGAGTAAATGATGGCAATTTTCATTTTTATGGTAACTATCCCTATACAATGCAATATTTGAAAATGGCATCCAAACATTCTCTTTAACCTCTTTGTTAGTAGTAATGAAGCATTTAATTGAGACTAAAATAGAATAATGGAGATCTATTTTGGTAGATGAAATGCATCTCATTCTATTGTTGCAGATCAGAAGAACTTCCTGGCGTATTTAGGGCAAGAAAAACTGCTACTAGTGTCTTGATAGCAGAATATTGTTGTTTTGCTCGTTGGAAGAAGGAACAAAGTTCGAGGCTATATGTATCAGATCTATCTGGATGGCCATTATAGGAGTATTATTATCAGCTCTTTCCTACAGTTTTCTCAGTGCATTATAAATGCACAAAATTCTACTTGTTTGCTTTGGTCATTTAAATGGTGCAGTGTAATTAAGTATTTTGAGTTTCAGTTTCTCTGTATCTTGAATTTTAGATTAAAATCATTGTAGTATTTCAAGATTCAAGATTCAAAAAACTTTATTAATCCCAGAGGGAAATTGCTTTCCATGTTACAATTGCTCTCAAGAAAGAAAGAAAGAAAAAGATAATAAAATGAATAAATATATACCTATACAGTATATCAATAAAATTAAAACTAATAATAAAAGTAACACATATAAATAATAATATAAAACTATACCAGTGAAAATGGTAGTTTAGATAAAATATAAAATTAATTAAAGTGGAATGGAATGACAAATGTGGAATATAATAAGTCCAATATGGTAATGGTAATTAAGTACAGTAGTTATATAGTATGTATTGCACACTAATCTTAGTATTAATAAATAGGCAGTAATAATAATAATAAATTGCATTGCACAAGAAAAGTCATAATGAATTTTGCATAATGAAATTAAAAGAAATTAAATTTGCATAATGCGCTGCAATTGTTCATTTTATTCTGACTTAATTGCATACTGAATTGTGATTGTCAACTTGAGACCATCATCTGATGTTGCATTTTGTATTTTCCCCCTTAAAAATGTTTTTAGAAAGCCACTATTTCCAAAAATCATAACGTTTATGCATTTGTTGTTTTGGGGTGAATTTTAGAGAAGTGAAAAACTGCAAAATTGCAGTGCTGGGCTTTTAGGGTTACAAACTTTCACCATGTTATTGTCTATACAGGAATATGCATTATGATTTAACTGTCTTGAAGCTTCCCTAGCAAGTTAGAAGGCTGAAATTCTGATATGTTCATCTCTGAGCTTTCCTCTGTCATTCTCTAAAGTATCAGGATTCTGTAATATTCCCACACCTCAGAGACTCCCCTGTAAAGTAACTCCAAATATAGTTATAGGCCTGGCGTGCAGTTGCTTTGACCTCTACAATAAGCTTTTTCAGTGAGCTAGAAGACAGAAACTTTAGTCCGTTCATCTCAGAGCAACCATCTTGCACTCTATAAAGTTTAATCTGGCTATGATTTACTGAATCGGCTCAGTTGTGTGCATAACATAAAAATGGTTGACTGTTAATTATGCATTTCTGCAACATTAGATTCTGCAGACTGTCTCGTATTTTACACGTTTTATGCAATGTTGCAATATTCCTACCACTAAATATCTTAAGAATTGGGGGGGAAACCACAGATCAAATACCTGAATATTGCAACATTTGATCTAAAACAGTCAGAAGTGGTGTCAGTTGGCAGTGACCATATTGTGTGACTTTGTCATGCTGGGAGATTGAAATTGCAAATATTTCCTTGCCAGACTCATTGCTATGATACATTTCACAGTGTGAGCTGATGTTATGTAGCTTCAACCCATATTAAGTGGAAAAATAAGTATTATTTCATTGATTTAAACAGCGGGTCCCAGAAGATAGTTAAATAATCTATAGTATTTTCACACTGCATCCAAATTTCATTTACACTGAAACAAAGCTTAAATCCTAAGATTATTTAAAATTATTTTGCTGCATTGCATCATTCAGAAAATGTTACAGTATTTCACTGCTTTCTCATGACATTCTATTCTTTTGATTAAGTTATTTTAAATAAAACTACGGTAAGAAATGGCATTCAACACAATGCTTTTGCTCAGAAAAATAAGTTGAGTTGTACATCCAGTTGCCTTACTTCCCTCATTCATTCCACTATATTGTTCTGCAGCAGTGAGGGTTTCCTGTTCTTTCTCATGCATGTAACAGGTTAAATGTCTTACTTCAGTGTTACACAATGAGTGAAATATAATAGTGCTGCCATATTTTGATATTTCTGTTCTGTATATTATCAGGATCAGTGCTATATTGACTCATTGGCACCTTTACATTAAAGTGATAGTTTTTATTTTTATTTTATTATTATTTTTTTTTTCTTTTCTTTTCTGGTCGCTCTTATATACAAAGCCTATTTGGCTTTTTCTTCGGTGGAACAATATAATTGCCAGTAAATT